TGGGACTCGAACCGCAGTCGACTATGTGGGAGTCCAGCGACAGCCGTTACACTAACTGCTGGTCCCAATAAAATAATTCTTAAAAAACACAACACAACAAAACAAAAATTCATTCTGGGTGTGTGTGCATGCATGCCCAAAGTCCTGATGAGAAGGGACTGAGAAGTGGCCTTCCATCCTGAGGGATGATTTTCTTACTTTCTCTGTCTTTTGGGTGAGTGTATGTGCACTACAGTAAAAATTTCTCTAAAAACAAAAATAGAAACAGGGAAATTAAAATAGTGTAATTAACATAGAAAAAGAAATAAGTTGAATTTCAATGTGCACTAGAAACTCACTCAGAATATGCAGGTTTGTACTATAAATATACCCTTAACCTGTGACTATACAATACCAAAACATTCGGTCATGTGAATGTGTGTCTATGCACAGCTAGACTTCAAACTACTTAAACACACTTAAGTGTACAGAGTTAAAAAAGCATCCAGATGATGGACTAAGTTTTTACTTACACTTCTAAATGAATGTTCTGGCAATACATGAATACAAAACTTTCTTCAAAATAAAGAAAACCTGTGTCCAATTAGTTTTTCAACATCTCTTTTTCCTGGATGATGTGCTTTGTAATAATTACTGACATAGACTTCCTAGTTCTTCTAACCAAATACTTTATATATAGGCTGGAAGATATGTTAAGAGATTGGAAGAAGGAATGATACTACGTTTTTCTCCCGGTAGTGTGTACTTCCTTTCTCTACTTCTATGTATAGATCACTCCAGAAAGACCTCCCACTCATTTTTTCTATATTACACTCCCAAACTCTTTGCAGTTCCCAAAATCCACAGATGTATACACTGTGATGAAGGCTAGAAGATGTGTACTCCAGAATTGATTTTGGAGGTAAAAGTGTTTTAATTCTCTTTTGTCTTCCATTCCATGATCTCAACCCTAAGAATGACCATGAAGTAATTCTAGCATAAGTACCAGGTAGATTCCCTGAATGGTATAGATGTGGTCTTTGCTCTTACAATGTATAAAATAAAAACATACTTTCCTTTAAAACTGAAACCAACTCAAGGGGTGTAACAGGTTGTAAATATGGATGATCTAGCCCTCAAAATGAATAAATACCACATATTTAAGTATACTTATAGTATACACAAAGAATAAGTGTCATCACCATCTCTTATCTATTTCAATATTAGAGTATTATTTTTAAGTTTGGGTTAACAAGTTTTACTATTTTACTAAAATCTGACTCTGAATCTAAAATGATTTGAAGGTAAAAGATTTTAAAATTTGCTTCTGATAGGCTTTGACACTTATTTACTTATAGACATAGTCTACAAATTAAACAAACAAATAAAAATATTTACTTTTAGGTAGAAATGAAAGAAATGTTTTTCTAACAAAGCCTTTTTAAAAATGGTTAAAAAAAAAAAAAAGGAGAAATGCCTTTCTCCCTTTGCCCTTTGATCTGCTAATACATTATAATTTGTCAGGTCATAGTTTAAATGCTAAGCCCTTAGAGAGGTACTTTCATTTTAATTCAACTCAATTTTGCATTTTCTAAAATTTGTAAATTAATAGTCTTATGAATAGTTTGTAGACTTGCAAGTATGATTATTTGTTTGCCATTTGGTTTCTTAATAGAATCTATGAGAACGGAAAAAAAAAAACCCTGTAGAATGTGAAATGTAGTATAACATATATCCTATGTAATTAAAGCTTTAGTAACTCAGTGTCACCAATAATATTACTATAGCTTTACATCTGATGGGGGCCAGCAGATACTGTGGTGGTTAAAGGCGCTGGATTCCCACATGAGTGACTAGGGTTCGAGTCCTGAGCCTGATGGCTTGCTTTCTCACTTTCTCTCTCTCTCCCTCCATGGTCCAATTAAAATTTTAAAAAAGTATAAATAAAGTTAAATAAAATAATTCTTAAAAAAATAAAAAAATAAATTATCTCTAATGTTTCCAATTTCAAATGAGATCAACTCGGGATGAATTGACAAAAAGTCTAAGTTATTTGGTAAAGTGAAGTTTTAATAAGCTATTGAGTAAAGTGACATTTTAATAATTTTAAGTTCATATTATAAAGCATGCCACTGCTAAATAGGTAAACAATTGTAAGACTCTCTCCTATAGGATCATAAAGACAATTTGGTTTAAGTTGGTATCAACTCCATAGGGTGCTTAAAATCATTAGGTGATTTTTCAAGTTTATTAAAGAAATCCCCTATAGTAAGGTCAGCTATAATAATTTTCTCACATATTTTTTCATTGTTACATTTATTGTTTAAAATTACTTTGATACTGCATATGGTAATGTCATTGCCCTGACTAATATGCACTGTATTCACTCTGGGAAAAACCATGCTGTACAATGCAAAGTGTACAGTGATTAAATGTAAATAAAAAGAAAAAGATTAATAAAAAGAAATACAGGTCATTTTAATGCAAAAAAATTTTGCTTAAGTATGTGAAAGTTATATACTCTCTACATACGAAGCCATTACTTTTTCCAGAATGATTTCTGATTTAAAGTACTATTTGATTTCCTACTTAAAGAACCATAAAAATGTTAAGGACTTAAGAAAAAAATATATACACTTGTTAGGCTAAATGTACATCATTCTTCAGCTGCATTTAAATGCCTAAATTTATTTCAAATTATACTGTCAGAGGGAAAAACTAAACAAGAGCTACTTCATAATTCTATCTTAGGTATAAAAGGTTCACATGAGAGCCTTATGTATTAACTTAAGGTGTTTTGAGCTTAACTAAGTTACATCAATTAATAGTTTACTGGGGTAATACATTTTAAAAGCTTTGCTCATTTTGTATTTTTATTTGGAACATTTTTCTGGTTCATTCTTTCACGAACATAAGAGGTATTACACAATATAAACCATAATGTAATATAACATTATTTACTAACTATGGTAAATTTTAAAACAGATGGCTCACTTATTAGTCTAAATAAATGAAAATTAATATAATAAAACACAAGTCATTATAAGAACAAAGTGGCTAATAGCAAAAGTACATGGGCAGTGCTCATTACTAGTATTTCTTCAATGTATACGGATCATAAGGCAGTTGAGTAACTGCCTTTTATTGTCTTCCAAATAACAAAAACAAACCAAGTAACCAACAAAACAAAAAACCACTATTATAATTTGGCAACATATTTCATACAGTACTATCAATATTTAAGCTTTCATGACATAAAATAATGCAATTAGGAAAATTATTGGATTAATTTTTAAAAATCTTTCTGGCAAAACTGTTTAAAGAAAAGCTACCAAATTCACTTAGGATTTTCACTTTGTATTTTTAATAAAATGTTAAGGCCTCAAGAAACAATTACAGTCAGATAGCAGGGAAGCAACAATACAACTGGATCTCCATGGGTAAGGTCGTCGGTTTGCGTCCCAGGACCTCCTGCACATACTAGGTGCATGCTTATGATCCAGGCTTGCTGAGAGGAGGGGCAAAATGCTAAGTAGGGACCTTGTATGTGGAGGTGTGGGAGGGAAGGTGCCTACTTCTCCCATTAAATAAATTTATCATTAAAAATATGATATATTTTCTTGCTAGAGTAGACGTAAAAATATTGAATGACAGAACTTGCTTTTGAAAGAGTACTCTAATGACTTTAACAGCAGTCCACAATGCGCTGCTCAGAGTTCTTGTGAGCTTCCTCCAGATCATGGCCTGTGTGCACACTGCTCACCTTCTTCACATAAACGTCAAGAAATCAAGGTAAGTCTAATATACATGATTAGCTACACTTGCTTTTAATTGCCTTTAAGTTTTTCTTTTTAATTTGTAAGAACCGATTACTGTAAATTGTTTTATCATTACACAACTAATTTAAGACAATTTGGCACAAAATGCTAGGCAAGAATCAGAAGATTTGTATTATAGAATTCTGGTTCAATCAGTAATTACAACCACCCATCTTTTTGTTTAATATATCAGTACCAACTTCCACTTACTCACTTATCTATTAGGGGTTGGGTATTCTACCAAAGTTTCATTACAAACAAACTGATTAAAGGAGAATAGCACCTGGTACATTATAAAAGTTAGCTGCTATTTCTCTTTTTATATAAGGTATCCCCAAAAAGTTAATGAAAAATGCCCATAAGAGGCGTATTATGACAAGACTATGCAAGGATTTAAAAAGTTTATGCACCAAAATAAGCTTGCATCTTCATTCCATTTTCCCATGAACTTTTTGAAGTCCCCGCTTACAAGATTTTTACTTGTCTTCTCATAGGTCCAGTTCCTACTTCAAAGGGAGTATTTTCTAACACTGCACTCATGAAGTTAGTGCATAGTTCTTTGTAAATAGGTGTTTGTTACACAGAAGAGAGGACTGGAAATTTAAATTTGCAGACTGTAACAGGATTTTAAATTTAATTTAATTTTATTAAACTAAAAAGAACGGAGTAGAAATAAAACACAAAATACTGTATAAAGAGATTATTAAAAACATTTGTTTATGTTTCTAAGTATGTATATATGTATATAATGTATGTACACATTGCATGTATTATGTATATTCACACATACATGTGTATATACATAGAAGGTTATATATAAAAATATGTAAGTCTGAGTGTAGGTTTACAATGTAACATACATTTTTTTCATCACAGGTTTTGGTCACTAAGGTTTGAAAGAAACTGAAAAAGAAATTAATTTTATTCTTGGTTTAGGCTGTGTGAATGGGAATGTGGGTAATAACCAAATACGTGGAGTATTTTAACCTTTTACAAAGAAGTTAAAAGGGCCTAAAATATATCTACTATGAGAAATACTGTGTTAATTATAACTTGAATGATGCTGCAGGATACAGCAGGACAAAATATTTCTAACTTTTGACATGTAGAATATTAAACATTAGTTAAAAAAATAAATAAATAAATCCACAACACCAGAGTCACCTCAGATCCAGAAGTGTTTTAACAAGCATTAGTACTAACCATATTCTATTGCAGCTTTGAGCAATGCTTCAGCATGAGTGGAGCCAAAGGCATTACGAACAAATCGTCTCCTTCGGCGAAGATCATCTTCCCAGTAATCCAAGCGCCAGAAATCATGCAATTGGCTAAGAATAGAAAAATGAACAATAATAATCACTATTAATAACAATATATAATGGCAAATACATTTTCTCCATAAAATTAAAGCTTTATTTCTTTGGTCTCATTGGAAAATTTAAAAATTTCAGATATTTGGATTTTATACTGGTGTCTGTGTGTTTCTTCTGCAAATGAACAAAACTCAAAATAGTAACATTCTCATATTTTAGGCATTATAACACTCAGCTCTTTTTTTAAAAAATTTTACAATGTTCTTCTCTCTTCGAAAGACATTAATCATGGGGAGTTTAGTAACAAATGCAGCATCAAATTACAAGTATTAATGGCACAGTTTGCTTTCTTTTGCACTGTTTTAACAAGGCTTGTAAATCACAAGATAGACCTCACTACAAATAGTTTGCAATTTAATGACTGCGGTTTCTTAGTAGACTGAATTAAGAAGTATAAAATATTGCCCACTTGGATTTGGTGGAACAATGATTAAAATAATGTGCTGAAATATTCATTGAAATGATTCCCTGCTGCCCAAAGCAACCTGAGAAAAGTGCAATTTTATCCATTATTAATAATACTGAATTAAAGCAGCAAAAAATTCCAGTATGTGGTAATTGTCTTGGTAAATTATTATTCTAATGCTAACAGAGTTCTCCGATGATTTTACAGCTTTCAGCTAATATATACCATTAACAACCATGGCCATCATTGGGTATCGTCTTTATATTCTGAGCCATATTAAAAATCCATGCAGTATTTCAGTATCTACTGAAATTCATTCTTTGTATATCTAATGGGACATCTTATAATTTTTGTTTTCAATTTAATTTCAATAAACAATGGTGATAAAGATCACTACTTGATAAGTCTATTATTTTCTGTATGTAGTTTTGAAGTAATATATTCAAAGGTTAATATTCTAATTTTTCTGAGCAGGACTACTCATATAAACATGTAAAATGCTTCCATAGCAGATTTTAATTTTTTTTATTTATGAGATTCCATTGTAAGAGAACACTTTAACTATGACAAAGGAAGGACCTACATGTTTGGCTCACGATTATCTCTCTAGTACAGTGTCCTGCAGACATTATGTTTTTAATAAATATTCGATAAATTAATAAAAAACATCTTTTCACTTCAAAAGACTATTTATAGACATGTATAGTCACTGAGAACAATGATTTAATTTTAAAAATACTTTTTAATTTTATGGTTATATAATTTTGTTAACTATAACTTTAATTGTAAGACAGCACAACAATATAAAGGCTAAAAAAGCATATATAATATAAGCATTTGAAGTACAAAAACTTTTTTTTTTAATGTCAGAGAGTGTTTGTGCACACATGAGAAAGAGAAGTGGAGAGACAGTAAGCAAGTTTCCCAGTGGGGTGTGATAATGCCACAATGAATTTTTCCTCCATTTCTCCACCCCATCAGAATTCTGGGCACACTGGGGCTGGCAGGTGGCATGCTGGGAAAAAGCACTGGATTCCCACATGACCGGCCATGGTTCGAGTTCCAGACCTGGTGGCTTGCTTTCTCACCTTCCCCTTCGCTCTCTCTGTCTCTGTTTGATCAAATTAAAAAATAACAATAACAACGAATAGAATTAAATAAATAAATAATTAAAAAAATAATCCTGGGCACATGCATACATGTCCAGCATGTTTTTCAAGATGCTGGAGCCAGGATTCAAACTTCAGTCATTCATGTAGGATCCAGCTCCCTCTACAGTTTTTAACTGCTGTACTATGGGGCGAGACCCAAAGTATACTTATTGGGTCATGAGAAAAGTTATGATACATTTTTACATAGAAAAACAGAAGAATAAGCATGATTTTTCCGATGACCCATACTATGCTTTTTTTCCTGTATACTGTAATTAGGATAACTACTTTTCTGTTGAAATAGTGATTACCTGGTGAATAACTGTAGTTTGTCTCTTTTACTAGTTTAAAATAAGATGATTTCTATTTTTATAAACATAGAGCAACCTATTTACAAACGTAGTACAATCTATATTAGTAAAGGCAGAAATGATTTAAGAAATGACTTAAGAAATGGTTCCAAGGGTTTAAGGATGACAATACTAAAATTTTGCTACAGGGGCTGGCCCCATAGCACAGTGACTAAGGGAGTCAAATCCTACATAGCTGACTGCAACTCAAATCCCAGACTAGTGACTTGAAAACTATGCCATATAGTTGTGTGTGCTCATGCCCAGGAACCTGACAAAGAGGAGGCATGGAGGAAAAAGAACTGCAGTGGACCTCACTCCACTGGGAGGTTTGGGGGTGAGGGCTGCTTTTTCTCTCTTTTGGTGAGTGCACATGCCCCTGGCAGAATAAACAAACAGATAAACAAACAAAATTTTCCTAAGGATGTTGTTAATATTAGGTCATTGAATTGACCAGAAAAGCCCAGAGATTGAATATTATCTCTAATTTGCCACCACAGACATACTTGTTCCTATCCCTCCTTTTGGTGCAACTAGATAATTCTATACCTCATATACAAACAAACATGGGAAAACTCTGAAAGGTAGAGAGACGAGCCTTCAGGAATAAGATTTTGTGCCCTTATAAAACAGGTTTGGACCAGCAGGTGGCATGGAGGTTAAGGCTAGATCCCACATGGGCAGCTGTGTGATTTGAGTCTGGGCTGAAGGTTTGGAAATCACACCAGGTGTGTGTGTGCATTCCCCAAATCCCAGGAAGAGACTGAAGGAAAAGGATCTGTGGTGTGGCCAATGCTGTCTGGGTGGGGTGGCGGAGAAATGACTTCTCACTTTTGCACCCTTTTTCTCTCTCTGGTGAGTGCATGAGCCCTATAACAATAACTAAAAATAACACATAAAATAAAATGGGTTCAAGGGTCTAGCTCTTCCTCCATGTGGTGGAAGCTGTCATCCTATACACCAGCATGTGGGCCCTCACCAGACACCAAATCTGACTGTGCTTTGATCCGGGACGGCTCAGCTCCCAGAAATGTGAGAAATAAATTTGTTTTTCATAAGCTACTCAGTTTATGGTATTTCGTTATAGCAATTTGAACAGATGAAGACACAGAGTATGTAAATTCTCTCCTTGTATCTCCATTTTTCTGATAGATAATACTGTGTATCAGCAAGTCAAGAATCATTACAGTGTTTTTCTGATAGCGGAATAAAATGTCTACAAAATGCTTATGTTCCAACACCATTATGTCTGGGATCTGTGTGAGGTTATCAATCTAGAAAATCACCGCCTGCTTTCTGTTCAAATTCTCATTCGTTTCTTTCTTTCTCTCCTCCCATGTTTTCATTCAAAAATATATTTACTGAGTACCTATCTCTGTAAAACAACATTCGCGGTGCTGAGGATATGTTCTAGAGGCATAACAATATCATGCATTTCTTTTTCTTTCCTTCTCATTCACATAATCTTCACCCTGTTTTCCTGTTTTTTTTTTTCATCACTATGCATGCCCATAGTTTGTTCAACTAAACCGTTCCTCTACTATTCCTTCCAATTACTATCTCAATAAGATATACTTTGCTATTTTCTCTGCAAAATGTGAGTCACTTCAGAACAAAACAATATAGTCTACTCTGATAATAAGTTTTTGTGAGTAATGGTAGATGTGACTATTAAAATAATAATTTATAAGCATTATCAAAAGTTGATCCTACCCTGTGATATGCTATTTAGGTCTCTCTAATATGCCCGCCACCATCCACACACATTAAGACTGGATCTCACCATGTCATGATACTCCTGCCTCAGTCTCTCAGCTGGAACTTACTGTGTGCGCCACCAGACTCAGCATGTTTTTAAGGCCTTGTCTATGTTGCCCAGGCCAGCTCCAAGCTTGCAATCCTCATGCCTTAGTTTTCTGAGGTGCTGGGATTATAGGAACAGGTCACTGTGCCTGGTGTTTATTTAGGTTGGGCCAGGAATAAAACCTGGGCCTCGCTGTGGTCCCAGGCTGAGTGGCACAGCATCTTAGCAGCATGTGTCCCCAGAGCTGAGTCAGATAATTTGATTGCGCTGAAAGTTTTACTGAATTCCCTAAATTTGGCCTACAAGCTCTGCTTTTCATAAAAGGGGGCTAATTTAGATTTCCTGCACTTGGAGTGGAGCCAGGTGAGAAGACAGGAGCCACCATGCTTCTGTCTTCCTGGGTGGCGAGGAAGCCATGCTAAAGGAAACTTGCTTGGACTTGCTCGCCCATACAGTTACCATCTCACACGATACCATCAATGATGTCAATACCAGGCTCAATATGCATACACACTCCTTTCACTTATTTATTTTCCAGTTTTGATACTTTGTGTCTTCAGACCTCATTATGGAAACACTAAGTATTATATGTATGCTTTGTTTCTGAGTGTGGTTTCATGTAGTTTCGGTGTGTAATGATTAGGAAAGGCTACCAAAGTAGGTCGTAATTAATGAAAGGAAGATTCCTAGTTAGGTTGTATTGTGATAACTAATATTACTATTGATGTAATAATATTCATTAAATGGGATTTGGTCTTATTTTTAGCATAAATAGTGTTTAGGCACTCAATTTCCTCAATGATCTTTTTATTAATTACACTTTCAATTTCTGAGAATATAACTGATTTTCTTTAAAGGCTCCCACTCTTCTGTTTCCACGTATGGATTACCTTCAAAAGCTAGGGGGAAACTGAATTTATCTGATAAGGCATGACCGAAAGTGTTAATTGGTTCTGTTTGGTATTTCATAGCAAAAACTATGCAACGGAACATAGAAAAAGGGGATGGTCCCATAGTCTAGCAGTTAAGGGAATTAAGATTCCACATGACCCACAGCTTAGTTTGAATCTCACCCTTTGTGGCCTGTAAAATATGCCAAGTGTTTGTGTGTGTGTGTGCCCCAAATCCTGACAGGACAGAGAGATGGAGGAGAATGGATCACGGTGTGACCATGCTCCATTAAAGGGTGTTTTCTCCCTTTCCTTCTCTCTCTCTCTCTCTCGCTCTCTCTCTCTCTGGCATGT